TCTACCCAAAATGTCAGTTGTTCTATAAATTCATCCCAGACCCCCAACAACAGCAGGGCTCATACAGTGAGCTTTGAATTTAATCTTCTTTGTATTAATTGTATATGTGAGTCATTAACTGTCTATTTAAGGAATTGAGATACTTTCAAATTCTACTCTCAGTGATAAGCCCATCTCCTTGCAATTGTAGATGTTTAATAAACATACATTAATTTTAAATTCACTTTATTTTGAGATTTCAGCCTTGTGTAACAAGATTACATACTATGAGAGTTAGAAAAGACTCATAAGTAACTTACCATGTGTTAAAACAATGTGTTGGTTATCAAGATGAATTGCCATATATGGGTATACAGTAAGAATGCAGTTTTCTGCTATTGCAGTAACCGGCAGAGAAAACCTAATAATGTAAACAAATTATTTCTTTAAAATACAATTTCCAGGTACAGTCAATACAATTAAATATCTTTTATTCCAGATGCCCTTAATGGTCAAAAGAAGCTCTGGTGGTTTAGTGGTTAAGGCTCTGGCTACTAACCAAAACGTCAGTGGTTCGAACCCACCAGCCATTCATCTTCAGAAAAGATGAGGCAATCCGCTTCCGTAAAGGTTTCCAATCTTGGAAACCTATCGGGATTGCTATTAGTCAGAATCAACTTGATGGCAGTGAGTTTGGTTTGTTTTGGTTTAACGGTCAAGGCATGAATTATTGATCATTTATTCTTTACAACGTATTTGTAACTACCTACTATATCCATTTGAATGGTTTTTAAAAAATGTTTCTTCTAAAGTTTTAAAAGAGATTGCAAATTTCACCGTCACATTTGCTTTAGAACACAGCTTATAATTGTACAAGTTCACAAACACAGATCCAAGCAATTTTATAAATGAAGGTGTCTCAGAGGTAATTTACTTACATCCTTCTTCTAGGGATCCCAGACAGATACTATCTCACCTTGAGTGACATTACCAGGGAGGAGGCACACATGCCTCAGAGATGGCCCATTCCATATCTGCAGAACTTTAGCTCCATAAATTCTGAACAGATCATCATAAAAGGAATCCGCAATCTGACCCTCCTTAGAATCCTTCTAAGGTTTAAATAGGAACTCTGGTAGCATAGTGCCTAAAGCACTTCACTGCTAACCGGAAGGTTGGCACTTCAAACCCACCAGCCACTCCTCGGAAGGAAGGTTGGGCAATCTACTTCTGCAGTGATACCGTCTGGGAAACACAAGTAGGGGTAGCTATGAGTCGGGTCTGACTCGACGGCACACAACAACAACAATGTTTAAATAGTCATATTTTCTCTAATGTTTATCTTACTCAGATTCCAAACAGAACATACAAGAGATCTCTTGACTGCACAGTCTTCAAATTTTTCACATACTAGTCTACGTTCTTTTAGATGACCTCTGCTTTTCTGTTTGTCTCTCTTTATATGTGTCTGAGAAGTGAAAGCAATGCTACAAAAGTTATTCACTCAGTAGAGAGTACTATTACTACCTTCCATAATTTGTATACTCTACCTTAAAGAAACACTGTAAAAGCAAAGAAAGAAACAAAAAGAGTTGCCATCAAGTTGATCCCCCATGGGTGTCACAGTAGAACTACAGTCCACAGCTTTTCTCCCCAGGCACCTCTGGATGTACAAACAGCTAACATTTCAGTTAGCAGCCAAGTATGCTGAGCATTCCCACCACCCAGGCACTCAAAAAAATCACTGTAAAATTGCATGATTATTTTTACCAGCCACAAAACACTCTTCGATTATATTGGGCCTCTCTACCGTATGTGACAACACTGTCCTTGTAAATAGAAGTGTTATATTTTATATTAATGGTTTCAGTTCTGCATTGTAGTAAGTCAAGATAATTTTACTCTTCAGTTAGCCAGCCATCTTTCATATTAGTCTTTCCATCTATTTTACAGTTACTAGCAAATGTGAATTGAACCTTGTTGACACAGCGCTTACAGTGGTCGGCTGCTAACCAAAAGGTTGGTAGTTCAGAACCACCAGCCACTCCAAAGGAGAAAGATAGGCAGTCTGCTTCCATAAAGATTTACAGCCTTGGAAACCTTATGGGTTAATTCCACTCTGTCCTGTAAGGTCGCTACAAATCACAATTGACTCAGTGTCAGTGGGCTTGGGTTTGGCCAGTGTGAAAAGCTGAAATTCCATTTTTTAATCCAAGTTAGTACAAGTAAAATATAAAACATGTCATCACTGAAATATAATGAGTTGTCAAAGACTTAAATACAAAGATATGTTACATGTAATGGAATCATTTCCAACTCAGTCCTGTATATGACATTTTACCATGAGGAATGCATCTCTTTCTCTTGATTATTTTATATTTGCTAATATTTTAAACAAACACACATGGAGAAAATGTATTCCTTAACCACTAATCACTACTTCTACTTATCGTATGTTTACACTAAAACATAATGAACAATCAAAATTCTACTAATAGACAAACTATGCTTACTCAATAATTACCTACAATAAATAACATAATTTATCAATGGATAACATCATCATTACTTTCATGGAATAAAAAAGTTAATGTTTTTAACAGCGACTTAAGAATAAGATGAAAAGAAAACAAACAAGCAAACAAAAACCCAACATTCTTCCAAATGCTGTCCATACTCTTGGATCCAAATCTCCCTGGATCCAGTTTAC